GTGTGTGTGTGTGTGTGTGTGTGTGTGTGTGTGTGTACATTCCAATGGTTACGTTGCAGTCAGCATGTCTGCCTGCAGTACCAGTGCTCAGATTCTGACCCGACACGCCCGTCCAGCCTACGCTGCAGGAGGACGTTACATTCCTTCATGTCTCCCTGACCTTAAATCAAACGTCGACTTTAAAAACTTTTATTTTTAAGTTTTTATTTTTTTAAACAGAATGAACTTCAGCGTGTCTCGCTCCGTCAGACTCTGTCTGTCTGCAGGCCGATCAGAGAAGAGGGAGTTTCTCTGGACTGAAACTGAACAGATGTCTGCCAGAGGCTGCAGACTGAGTCCACGTTGGTCCTGCTGATAAGGACGGGTTGTATTTGTGCAGCTGGACCGCCTCTCTCTTCCTGATGAGGATGTTTCCTCTGCACTCGTTATCGGCTGCCTTCATGGGTCAACCGAAACTTCGGCGTTTTTCAGTCAAAAATGCTTGAACTGCAGAGGATTTACTTAGACTGAAGTCTGCAGGATGAGTGGTTCTGTGTGGACCCGGTTCTAAAGCAGACAGTTAATAGACAAGTTTTCTGAAGTATTTTCTGTTTGGGTGAAACCTTCTGTCTGTGCCCCCCAGCTGTCTTGTGCAGCCTCCAGCAGAGCCATGAGCCCCCTGGTGGTTCCTGGAGACTTCAGCCAGCCGGCCAGTCCTTTCGGCTGTTTGGACAACTCTGCTGCCAAACACAAGCTGGGCCTGAGACACAAAGCCTGTAACCGGAGGAAACCTGCCAGTGTAAGACTCAATGACTCATTACAAAGTATCACTGACTCATTATTACAAAGACTCACTGACTCATTATCACACAAAGACTCACTGACTCATTATCACACAAAGACTCACTGACTCATTATTACAAGGACTCAATTATTCATTATTACAAAGACTCGGTGAGTCATTACAAAGATTCGATGACTCATTAGTTCAAAAACTCAATGACTCATTAGTTCAAAGACTCAATGACTAATATAAAGACTCAATGACTCATTAGTTCAAAGACTCAATGACTAATATAAAGACTCAATGACTCAAAGATTCAATGACTCATTAGTTCAAAGATTCAATGACTAATATAAAGACTCACTGACTCATTATTACAAAGACTTAATGACTCATTATTACAAAGATTCAATGACTTAATGATTCATCACTATACAGACTCAATGAATCATTAATAAAAAGACTCACTGACTCAATAATACAATGACTAGATGACTCATTGATTCAAAGACGCAGTCATCACTACAAAGATTCAATGACTTAATGATTCATCATTAGACAGACTCAATGACTCATTAAAAAAAAGACTCACTGACTCATTGATTCAAAGACTCAATCATTATTACAAAGATTAAATGACTTTTTGATACAAAGACTCAATGACCTATTAATGATTTAATGAGTCATTAATTCAAAGACTAAATGACTTACATGTCAGTCTCTCAAGGAAGCAATGTGATCCTCCCTCTCTCTTTGTTTTTTAAAACTAAGATGTCATCAGTTTGTTATAAATTTCATTTAACAGCTAACTCAATGAGCCACAGCTTGTTTACCAGAGATTTAACACCTGTCAATCATTTATGTTGAGCACTGTTATGAAACAAGCGTGTCCAGCAAGCTACAGCAGTTAGCAAAACCAGTTACCAAACCAATCTGAGAGGCTGTGGACTGACCTGTTGATGGTTCTGTGCAGAAACTGGACCTGAAAGCAGAAACAGACTCTACAGTGGAGGAGATGTTCCCGAACTCTGTGCAGAGATCAGAACCAGAAGCTGTGGAGCAACAAGAACAGACAGCAGGTCAGAACAAATCTCTAATTGTTCAGATCCAGTTTTTAGTTTGTTTTCTTTCAATGAAACAAGCCAACTTTATCAAACCAGAAGGGTTGTTACAAGTGTCCAAGCCCGGTTCTGACAGTTAGGACCTTGTGTAGAGAGAAACTGTTCATGATGTGAAAATGATTATTGTTCACAGCACGATTAACAACTATTACATCCACATGATTAACAATTATTACATCCACATGACTAACAATTATTACATCCACATTATTAACAATTATTACATCCACATGATTAACAATTATTACATCCACATGATTAACAATTATTACATCCACATGATTAACAATTACATCCACATGATTAACAATTACATCCACATGATTAACAAT